GACTGGCACCTCCCTAAGAAATTCCATCAGTGTGAACTGACTGAGCCTGGGAACTGGTTTCGTTTTGGCAAGATTCTTGTTAATGGGTTGTAGCTAATAAACCTTGCTGGATTGATTCTGCATGGTCTCCTGGAGCTCCTTGGGCTAGGCCCGACACAAACTTAGGGAGGCAGTGAAGGACAGGAAGGCCTGGAGCTATATGGTTCATGGGGTCACAAAGAGTCGGACACGACTTAACGACTGAACAACAAAAAGTTGAAATATTTCAACACTCAGATATGTTGCCTTCATGTGCAGGTTGATCCTCAGCACTTAAAGGAATCAAGAAAAATCATCTTTGGGGCTTTTTTTATATTCTAACTAGAAGCAGTTCTGTATGCATATGTGAAAAACAGATTCAGTCTAGGAACTCATGAGGGGCAACAATCAGTGAGTAACACTGATCATAAAGAAACAGATGGGCTGACAAGTTAACATTATTTACACACAACATGAATAACTCACAGATTTCCTGCCTTCAGTCATTTCTCAGAACAGAGCACTAAATTGAAACAAGTGATAGTTAAGATTAAACATAATTGGGGGTGAGGGGGATGATGCAACCATTGAGAACCATTTGATTGCATAGGATGAAGGAAGAAAGGGAGGGGAGAGGTAAGCTTGGAAGCTGCTGTACTTTTAAGCTGATGAGGGGCATAGTTGAATGAGAAGTGCATAATTTGAGGCCCCAAGGATACATCTAGCTACCATAAGCTGTAGATATAAATGCTAGAGACTTGGAAAAGTTGTTCCCAACTTATACATTTAATGTGACAAAAGGAAGAAATTACTAAATACATGGCTGTATTTAAAAGACTGGAAACTAGGGCTTAGAGGAGAGACTCTTAGACATGGGCATATTTAACCTGGAGAAGATAGGAGGGGAAATATGATAGCCCCTTTGAAATACTGAAAAGATTGGACACAGAAAAAAATCGAGACCTGTTTTGTATCACGCACACTTACACACCTACATAGCTGTGCAAGACAAAATATAATTGGTTTAAGTTTAAAAGCAAGGGTCACTCTTGTTCAATTTAGGAAAAACCTTGTACAGTGGTACCTCTACTTACGAACGCCCCTACTTACGAATTTTTCGAGATATGATCAGCTCCGGCCCCAAAAATTTACCTCTACTTACGAACTCACCTCGACTTACAAACCGGATCCGCGGCCATTTTCCGCCAGTTCCACATGGTCCGCAGCCATTTTCCGCCCGTTCCACGTGGTCCGCGGCCATTTTTCCACCCGTGCCCCATGGTCCGTGGCCATTTTCCGCCCGTTCCACATGGTCCGCGGCCATTTTCTCGCCCGTTCCACATGGTCCGCAGCCATTTTTCCGCCCTGCCGCGTGGTCCGCGGCCATTTCCCACCCGTTCCACATGGTCCACGGCCATTTTTCCGCCCGTTCCACGTGGTCCGCGGCCATTTTTCCGCCCTGTCGCGTGGTCCGCGGCCATTTTAACCTTATGGGAAAATTTACTTCGACTTGCGACCAACTCGACTTGCGATCAGAGTCACGGAACGGATTAAGTTCATAAGTAGAGGTACCACTGTAATGTTAAGACTAGTTCAATGACAGAACCAATTACTGATGGAAGTGATAAGCTCCTTTCCCCTAAATTACCTGATTTTATGATTCTGTGAACTATATTATTAGGATTATTCATTATTATCCTGGTTTCACTCACTACTTTTCGGAATACGGCCCCCAACACAACACTCAGAAGCCAAGTGTGCCTCTCCTGCCCCCCCCCCAAGATTACATAGCATTGGTTTATTGCAACGTTACAAGGGGCAAGTATGATACAAAGCACTGATTGAATTACATACGGAATTACATCATAGTCTGCAGGTCCAGGGCCCTCGTGTGGCTTAAATTTATCACGCTTTTCTGTCAAATTGCCAAAATGCACTCCTTTATACTTCATAGTTGGATAAGTTTCATTCTGAAAGAAAATGAGTACAGAGTTTATTCTAATTTCTTCACAAGATTTAAGCAGGGGTTTGAGCCCCAATTTCATAGTATAAGTTCAATAATTGTAGGCAATGTTAACTTTAATCAATATATTGCATAATTTAGACATAAATAAAAAATCCATGTCACTGACAAAGTCTGAAAAATTGCATTTTATGTACATGAACAAATCCAAAAACAGTCATTTATAAATTCATATCTGCAACTACTATATTTTTCTTCTCAGTAAATTGAATTTATGTATATATAGAACCAATCACTATTACCACCATTTTTTTTTTAATCTGTTCAATTGTGTCTGATTCTCAGAGACTGCCTGGACAAGTCCCTGCAGTTTTCTTGGCAAAGTGTTTCAGAAGTGCTTTGCCATTACCTCCTTCCTAGGACTGAGAGAAAGTGACTGGACCAAGGTCACCCAGCTGGCTTTGTGCCTAGGTGGGACTAGAACTAGCTTGATGCCCTAACCACTACACCAACCTGGCTCTCTATTACCACCATAGTTATAGTACAAATATATTTATAATAGATAAAGGAGAAAATACCCATCAACAATTTTTCCCTTGGATCAGTGGATCAGTTGAATAAAACTGAACATGGGTAAGTAGATAATTGTTTCTATGTGTATGACAATGTTACATATGAAGTAGCCTGTAACTACTTTGTAATATGCCAAAACTACAAAAATAACACAAAATACTATTGTTAGTCATGGAACTAGAGCACCATCCAGTGGTTTCTAAAAGATATATTCACAAAGCTAAAAAAATTCCAAATAAGGCAATCTATTGGCAATAAATATTACCAGGATATATTAAAAGTCTTACAGTCCACATATATACACATAGTCTTATATTACTCTACACTGAATGATGTTATCATGACAGCCTTCTGTTTTGCCTTGTTTTACTCAAATCTGAAAAGAAAACAAGAGGAGTCCTTGGTGTTCTCTGAGCTTGGTTGTTTTCTTGCAGATGTTTCGTTAT